TTCCAATGGATGTTTGACGTTCAAGTAGAAATTTCAAGACCTTGGGGTTTGTTTGGTGTCTTGTTCAAACCTGAAATGAGTTGACCGAGCTTTGTCACCTCCCTTCCCTTATGAAAATAAGTAAATAAACAAAACTACACACATATTGAGTTCACCATACCAGGCCCCCTATAGTCACTCTCTATGAAATTTCACAACAACTGTGTGACTCAGAGTCCGAATAAAGGGGTGTTGGTTACCAGTAACAGGACTCACATGGAAGGATGAAATAAAGGGGGGCCTGTCATTACAAAGAATGCCATGTATCTGAGAGGACTTGACAGCAAAAAGTGGGGCTGGGCTTCAGAAGAGAGACTAGAAGCAGAAGCTGGGGTGTCAGAGCCCAGATAACTAGAGCTTCTTCTCAGGTGAGATTGACAGGCATCTCCGCGTCAGGGTGTTTCCAAGTAAGGGGACTCCATCAGGCTTCCACTCCTAGCCTTTGATGGATGGATGTGGGAAAAGGACCAGGCACTCCTGGCTTAGCCCTTTCTTCTCCCCTTTCTTCTTTGGAAGCTCTCAAAAAGCCCCCAATCTCCCTCACATCTACGTGAGGCAGCCGCCAGCTGTGAGGGCTGCCCCTGGAGAGTCTGTCTCACTAGGGGCTCAGAACTGCACACTGAGCCATGTTTACAAAAGCCCATGTGGTGCTCTTCCTCTCCCATAACCGCGGCCACCCCCAATTCCCTCTGAAGCAAAGCAAAGAAAGGGGGCTCATTGGGCCCCCTCAAACTCCAACAGAGAGTCACACAGGTCTAGCCAGTCACAGTCTTATCCTACTTCCCAAGTCAAGGAATAACAGAGCCTCTGGGTTCTTTCCCAAATTCTGGTTGAGATTCCGATTGACCCACCTTGGGTCAGTCCCGCTTGGATCCATTCAGCTCTGCCAGGAGCCTGGGGTCACAAGTGTGAACAGGGAGAAGAGTTGTTGGAGGAAGAGGATCAGGCAAAGCAGAAGCCTCAGCGTGTCCATTCAAGGCAGATGTTGTCATCTACTTGCCTCTTAGGGAGAAGATGGACTCAGCTAATAGCAGGGCTGCGATTCCTACCCAGGGCTGATCGAGCCCCAAGGCCACGTTTGTGACCAAATACAGAGCTATGAGACCCCAGGAGCTGACCCTGAGCCAGGCCTTCTCCAGTTGGTTTGAATAGAATACCTGGTATCATTTAAGTGATTCTAACAGTAACACTGAGAGCAAGGCTAAGACTTAACCTTTTGTTTTTCAGTGACATCTCCTTTTCTCTCTCCTTCTGGACCCTCCAAGAAATGTGGGGATGCAGAAACCACATTGTACTTGATGCCAGAAAGTCTCCCCATATGAGCTGTGTGTCCTAAATCATTTCACCTTAACCTCTTCGAGCATTCAGGTTTTTTTTAGCCATTTAACAAATTTTATATATTATATACTCACTATATAATAAAGAGCTAATATGCTAATTAGGCCAGATGGCAGAATGACCTTCTGGAACAACCAGTGGGCGGGGCCATGGAGCCTCCAGCCCATGAGGCAGCTGGGGCTGTGAAGGCCTACTCTTGCATGAATTTCATGCATCAGGCCTCATATACATATGCACAGAACATGATATATATATATATATATTCTGTATGGATACTTAATGTTTATTATTATATCACTAGATATATTGGATATTTCCTGCATGCCAACACTGTGCTAAGTGACTAAAAACACCACAAATCCTACCAGATACACAGTTTCTTAAGTAAGAAATACAAACTAAAACTAACTACTCTCAGGTAATAGTTTTCTGCTCTCAGATCACCAAATGTCTGAATGTTCTGCAACACATATGGGTGAGGCCAAGGTGAAACAGGTACGTTGCAGGTGGGAATACAAAGGTACAACCCTATGGAGGGCAATTTGCCAAACTTTGTTAAAATGCAAACTCATTTACCCTTTGTAGCAGCAGATTGTTTCTAAGCGATTGTCCTTCAGATGTCCTCACACTCATAAAAAGTCATATATAATGACAGTTATCATTGCAGCCTTTTTTATAAATAGCAAAAGATTAAAAATAGCTGAAGTGGTCAACAGGCCTGAGGGAAACACTGGGATTCGGTGACAAAGAATGAGGAAGCTCTCTACGTTCTGAAATGGGAAATGGCCAAGACATATTGGTGAGTGGGAAAAGCAAAGTGTGGGAGTGTATTAATGTAATACTAATGATAGTGTAACAATACAGATAGAATTGGTTATTGTTTATGTAAAATATTATATGGGCAACTTTAGAAGTCTAGAAAACAAAATTTTAACCATATAAGGGTATTTGTGTGTGTGTGTGTGTGTGTGTGTGTGTGTGTGTGTGTTTAATGTAGTTGGGCTCTGGCCAATGTGCTCAGTGGTTAGAGTGCCAGCCTGTGCACCGACGTGTTGCAGGTTCAATTCCAGTCAAGGGCACATACCTGGGTTGCAGGTTCCATCCCCAGCCTAGTCCAGGTTTGGGTGGGAGGCAACCAATCAATGTGTCTCTATCACATCCATGTTTCTCTCTCTCTCCTTTCCTCCCTTCCACTCTCTCTAAAAATCAATGGAAAAAATACCCTTTTGTGAGAATTAATAAAAAAATATATACATATAGTTGGGAAACCTACATTCGCAAATGGGAACAGGGTGGGAATAAAACTTTCCACTCTATATCTCTTGAGAATTATTAAATCATGTGACTGTAGAACCTATTCAAATAAATACATGTGATTAAGAAGTAATTAAAACAGTGCAATGAATGTTAGGAAGGAGAAGGCCAGGGTGCTACAGGAACTGGTAACAGGGACCTGCCTTGGGTGTAGAGGAAGTCCCTGAGGAAGTAACTTTTCAGTGGAAACTTGATAGATAAATGGGCACAGCAGCAAAGGGGTAAAGAAGGGCTGCCTGGGAAGAGGGAGGCCACGCACAGCAGCCCTGGGGAGGGAGGGAGCGTAACCACATGCCAGGAATGGACGGAATCCATTCTGTGGCTGGGACGCAGATACAAGGGTGCAGGGAGACGGGGGAAGCGGTAGCTGAAACAAAGCAGGGGGTCAGATTGCAGGGGCTATGTTACAAAATGTGGACTTTATCCTAAGGACAGTCGGAAGCCATTAAAAGGGCTTAAGCAGAAAAGTGATGGGATCAAGGTTATGTTTTGGAGAGATTTCTCCAGAGCCTACGAGGAGAAGTGACCGGAGGAAGCGTGAGTGGATGTTGACAACTCATATATCTGATAAACTGCTTTGGAGAACTATTTGGTGGTTTCTTATAAAGTTAAACATACACCTACCCTATGACCCGGCTGTTTCATTCCTAGGTATTTATTCAAGTTAAATGAAAACATATGCTCACAAAAATATTTGTACAAGAATTTTCCTAGCAGCTGTATTTGTCATAGCCAACATCATGGCCCCCAGAAACCCAAAAATTTCTATCAGAAGAATTCATAAGCAAATTGGGGTGTATTTTCTGGAATGGAATTCTACTCAGCAGTAAAAAGGAAGGCACTCCTAATACAGACAACAGGAAAAACGGCACAGAAGTGAGCACGCTGTGTGTTCCCACTGCTGTGAAATGAACTCCACGTGCGGAAAAAGTAATCTGATGTCTATCGTGTAGACGTCAGAAAGTAGTTGGCTGGGGGAGGAAGGGAAACTGACTAGAAAGAAAAATGAAGGGATGTTCTGGGGTGTTGGAAATGTTTTATATCTTGCTGTACATGGCAGCTACACAGTGTGTACAGCTGTCCAAATTCATCAAAGTGGACAACCAAGACCCGGGCTTTTCACTGCATATTAAATGTACTTCAGCTAACAAAAAGGAGAAAAGAAAGCGTGGATATTGAGAAAGGTGGGAGGTGTTTACAATAATCCAGGAGAAAGATGATGGTTGCCTGGTGACGATCATGGGGATCAAATCGAACAACGTGTATAAAGAGGGCAACCCAGAAAGCTCCGTGCAAACCACAGAGCTGCGCACAAACACGGAAAAGCGAGAACTCAGTCTCGCGTAACCCATATCGAGTGTTGGAGTAAATGCGGACATTCGGGATCGCTCCGAGGCAGTCCTGTTTGTTGGCAGGGAAGGGCTTGGGGTGATTAATCATGATCTTCTTGTTGGTTTGTCACCATTTGGCAGGAAATGGATCCAATGGCTGCTGAGATTCATCAGAACACTTGATCTTGGGGCAAAAAAAAAAAAGGAGGGGTCAGGAGCTGCTTTTGCCAGGGATCGTTTTCTGCTGAAAACCGGCCTTTCCCAAACAAAAAAAGCATTCAGCTGCCGGGCTTGAGTCTTGGATTTATTTTTTTTGAATAATTAGGGTTTGAAGGATTCAGAAGAAAGGAAGCAGACTGTCAGTTCCTCAGGCAGGGACTGTAATGATCAGTGACACGGCCACCCAGAGTTCGGGAGAGTTCGCTGGGAGCCAAGAGTGTGTGGGAAACACACGTGGGCTGCTTGAAGCATCTGCCTGAGTGCAGACAGGTTTGGAGAAACAGCTGTGCAGAAATCAGCCAAGAGCCATCTGAATAGCTGGTCACTCACCATTTAACATATTCATATTTTTATGTGTGTGTGTTTTTTTCAAAAACAATAAATACCTAATTATTTGCTTTAATTTAATGTTGATTCACACACACACACACACACACACACACACACACACCCATCATGTTCCATGAGCAGACACAGCTGGATCCTTCCCATCCACACCAATGAGCACTAAACATCTGGGCGCCATTCTTGGGCCCTTTGTCCATCCAGAGGAGGAATCCCCGCACAAGGCAGGCTCTTAGATCCCATGAGCTCCAGAGCAATGAAGGCCCTCTTCTGCGCTGCGGTGGACATTTGTCATAGTTTTATTAGTAACATCTGTCATCCAATCCCTCTTTCTTTTTTTTCCTTTTTCTGAGAGAAGCACGTTGATTGGTTGCCTCCTGCACGCACCCTGACCAGGGCCCAAGCCGAGGTACCTGCCCTTGACCGGAATCGAACCAGAGACCTTTGGGTCTGCAGGCCAAAGCTCTATCCACTGAGCCAAACCGGCTAGGGTCCTCTTTATTTTTAAGGGCTGGTTTGTCTCCATGTGATATAGAACCCAACTTCCACATTGTAAGAGGACAGGATCTCTCTCTCTCTCTCTCTCTCTCTCTCTCTCTCTCAGACACACACACACACACACACACACACACACACACACACACACTCAGCCCTGCCACAGTCTGAGCATAGGCACCGGCCTTGGGCTTAGCCCACCCGGTGGTCTTCCCTGGAATTGGGAATCTCCGGGGAGCCATCGAAGGACGTGCCTGTAATGGAGGTTCTCCATGGAGACAGCTGGAAGTCATTTGTTCCAAAGCAGTCGAACCGGCACGCTGGCCAAAGTGCTCCTGCCCAGGCACCGTTGCTGGGACTCCTCTGGCCCCGCCCTCTGACCTCCACTTCTGGATGGGAAAACGGAGGGCTCAGACTTGGAAGGACAGGTCCATGTTCACACAACAAATTCTCACTGGAGCCAAAACTCAAACCCTGACCTTTTCACTGTCCCCCACTGCTTCCTTCCCAGCACAAGAATCTCCCTAATTCCCACCCACTTCTTAGGCTAGTTCTCTCTATCCTCCAATAGCCCTCCAATAAATTCCCTTTCCTATTAGTGATCTAGAGTCTTTTTTCATTGCTGGCACCCAGGACAGACACCGTCATAAAGGAGTGGTTTCATGTCCTACCGGAAGCCTTCGCAGAAATGCTCCCCCATGGCAGGTAGCTCAGGCACTTGGCCCCAGGCTTTGCTTTGGGGGCCAGGGAAAGACACCTAAATGGGTGGGCGTGGGGCTGGGTAAGAGGATGAAAAAGAGGAAGGGAGCAGGGAAAGTGCCGTGTGCTCCCCAGCTGGGACCGAGGAAACAGCCATGGTTAGCAGAGGGAGAGACTAAAGGTGCCAGGTGATCTGATGATGGCACTAAGCTCCTGCCCTTGAGGTAACAACACAGGGAGGGAGGTGTTTCCACTCCAGGAGTGGGAAGAGCGAGGTTGGGGGGTGATGTTGAGACCTGCTGGGGTCACACAGCACATGAGTGGCAGAACTGGAGTCAGAAGCAGATCTCATTTCTAACCAGACCTGCACCGCCACTCTAATAAATGCACTGACCAATGGGAGTGGGGGGGAGGAGGGGGGAGGGGGCACGGACCCTGTACCTCTTTTCTTTTCATATGATTTCAGATGCGTACCCTGGGTTCACTAGATGAGTTCACCTGGGCCTAGTGATGGGACGAGGTCATTGGATGATGTATTTATTTATTTTAAAAACACAAGGTAGAAAACTGCACTGAGCCCATGAAAAGCAGAGCTGGGGGCGTGTTGAGGCCTGTTTTGATTTAAGTGGAATGGATCCAGCTTGAGCGTAAATTTGAGACCGTGTTTGCTTGTGTTACACTCTATTTCTTCAAATTACTTTCGCGTGTCCTGTCTCATCGATTCCCCCCACTTCTGGATGAGGAAACTGAGGCCTAGGACGTGAAATGATATGTCCATGCTCACACGACAAATGACCCGAACCCAAACCCAAGCCCAGACCTTTCCCAGCCCGGGAATTAGCATCGCACCGATTGAGTTCAACTTAACAAGGTGACTTGGGTTGAGTCGTCCTGATGATTTGAGTTAGCCTCCCGGCATTATTCAGGTAAATACTAGTCCCTGATATTTACTCCCTATGTTACTCCCTATCTCCTGCCAAATACATTCGATCTCTTCCTCTGTCGTTTTCTCCATCTTTCCCCCTATGTTCCTCCTCTCCTCCCCCTCCCCCCTTTCTCCATTAATCTCCTTCTCTTCTTTCCTCCCCTCCTCTCCTCCTCTCACAAACACATTTGTTTTCGTACATGGGGATGGTATCGTGTTGATGGGGTAGGTGAAATGAGAAGACTCTTTTAAGTCCCTGGAAGCAGAATATTTTCTTATGGATTTTTTGATTGTTTGGACTGTTTTGCCAGGGTAATGACAAAAGGCTCCGAGGTCCCCTTATCTCAGGCCCACCAGAGGATGCCTTCAAGTTTTTGTTTTTGTTTCCAAGCTGGTTCCTTACAAATGAGTCCAGAAGGTCACTCTCAGGTCCCTGAGATAGCGGTGGGTGATCAATCACGTGCAGGACATCAGCATCACAGAAGATAACCCATGAATGGGAGGACTGGGGGAAGGAGAACGGACCCTGGGCCGTGCGGAACTGGGAGCTCGGTGAAGGTGAGCTGATGGATGGCTTCCTCCTCAAGTTCCTAGGACAGTCACCGGCATCTTCTGGCTGCCCATCCCCCATGATGTTTTACTCCAAATAGATAAAGACACACTTACATAACAGCCTTCAACATTCCCAGATAATCTGATCATTGCAACCGAGCAAGATATAAAGACTGTGTTTAAAAGCTCCACGTGGGGTCCCCAGGCAATTCCTTCAAAACAAACAGAGGGGACTCGGGCCCTGGCTTTGCCAAGGACAAGCTTTGTGAGCTCAGCAACTCCCCTGACTTCTCTAGAATAAAATACTGGCCTTCGTGCCAAGTGCTGTGGACGGACAAAGGTGGAAACAATGTGAGCCAAGAGCTCATCGTTAAGATCCTTGCTAGCCCCAAAAGACCATGTGTATGGCTTTTTTATTTGTTTGCTTTGTTTTGATATATTTTCATGTTAACATATTTCATGTTTTATTGACTAGTTCTTTCCAAATCATCATCATTATCAATCAACCACTACCAATTACTTTATTGCACACTGTTTAATTGCCCCAACAATTGTATAAGTTAGACATTATGATCACCATTTTCCATAGGCGATCACTGAAGCTCAGACAGGTTAAGTAACCTACTCAAGCTCACACAGCTGGGCAGTTACAGAACTGGGATTTGAATCCCCAGCTGTCGACTCCAAAGCTCATGCTCCTTCTACGATATAGTGGGGCTTCAGGTACGTATGTGCTGCCACTCAGAAATCACAGCTTAATTTGCAGGACCAATTTCAAAGTAAGAATATGTGGCCTTTTGTTTAAAAAAATGATTAAAAATTTCCAGACAGCAACAGGAGGACATTCCACAAAGCACGAGGCCTTTGTAAGGATGAGGCCTTCAATGACTGCCCAGGTTGTGCACCCACAAAGCCCGCCCTGCCAGCCACAGTTCACTTTGCAGATGCCATCTCCTGTCAAGGAGCAAAAGCATCCTAGCGATGGGCAGACCACAGGGGCAGGATTTTCCAGTGCTCAGCCTTCATGGGCAGGTTTCCTAATGGTACCCCAAAGGGGTCAGCGTGGACTTGGCGGAACTCTGGGTGCTGTGAGGTAGCTTTCTCGGAGTAGGAACATTTTTTTGTGTGTGTGTGGTGAAAGGTACACAGTCTTCTGCTCATAAAGGTGCTGACCACACCCTCACCTTTAAGGAGGGGAACAAATGGAGCGCAGCTAAATACTTCTTAGCCTCTCTCTCTCTCATTCTCTCTCTCTTTTTTAAAAAAAATATGTACTTATTGATTTTAGAGAGAGAGGAAGGGAGAAAGATAGAGAGATGGAAATATCTGATTGGCTGCCTCCTGCGCACGCCCTGCTGGGGATTGAGCCCACAACCCGGGCATGTGTCCTGACCAGGAATTGAACCAATGAACTCTTAGTTCATGGGTCTACACTAAACCACGGAGCCACACCGGCCTGACTTAGCCTTTCTTTTTAAACGAAGACCAGACCTGTAGGTGTGCCCTAACCGAAGGCAGTGGAGGCAAAGCAACAGGGCTTTGCAGCTGCTGGTTTATAAGCCTCCTTCCTGGAGGGAGGTGTCAACTCCTGTGGCCCCAGGAGAGGTTCTGATCAAAAGGCCCACCCTCTTGGTCAATGATTCTTAATCAGTGGTATTTAATCGTTTGAGGTCATAGACCTATCATCTATGAAAGTATGGGCTGTCTCCCCAGAGAAAAAGACACGTATGTACATAAAATGCTTTGTATACAATTATAGACTCCCTGTATTGACCCCAAATTTTTTTTAAAAAAAAAACCCTGTTTGAGATCATAGCTCCCCCAGTTATAAAATTCTACAATATTAGACCCAGATAGAAACTTAGAGACCATTTTTGTGAAACCATTTTCTTCCTCAGAGGGTGAAGGCTGAGGTCACCTTGGATAATAAATGATTCTACACATTTTCAAAGACTGACTCTACTGATGGTCAACTCTACACTTAAACTAGTTCCTCTACTCCTGATTTGCTCCTATCAAAACACTGTAGCCACGAGGGGCAACCTAACGCCACAAATGGCGGGTGTCAGGACATCAGTGAACATTTGTGGAGCACCCAGACAAGCCAGGCACAAGTTCTTGTCCCTGAAAAGCTGGCAGATGTCTAGGGGAGCGACTCAGCAAAAATAGAGAGTAGTGTGAATCATGCAATGGTAGATGTTCAAGCTAGATAGACAGGCGACCTGGAGGAGGGCGCTCTCAGCTCCTCCTGGGGGAAGACCCCAGGAGGAAGCAGTTACACAGGATTTTTTAAAAAAAATACATTTCTATTGATTTCAGAGAGGAAGGGAAAGGAAGGTGAGGGGGGGACATCAGTGATGAGAGAGAATCATTGATCAGTTGCCTCCTGTATGTGCCCCACTGGGGATCGAGCCTGCAACCTGTGCATGTGCCCTGACCAGGAATCGAACTGCAGCTTTGTTCATAGGTCAATGCACAACAACAAAGCCACACCGGCCAGGCTACACAGGGTCTTGAAGAATGAGCACAGGGCCATGAAGAAAGCAGCCTTCTGGTCAAGGAGACCAGCTTGTGCAAAGGCAGAGCAGGGTGAGACCGCAGGAGGTATATGGGAACTGGAAGTGGTCAGGATTAGCTAGAACCTGGGCTATGCCTGAGGAACTGGTGGGCGGGGAGGCTGGCAGAGGAAGAGGGGGTTGAAGACTGGGACCTTGGATATCACACGGAGGGGTCTGAACCTAAGGAAGAATGTCAGCTCGAGTGATGGATTAAGGAGTCTCTTCCTGAGGATGGTGCAAGGAGGCAGATATCCATCT